TTGAGATATTTATCTCTGATTGTTTTCAATGAATAAATCAAGGCATGCTTTAAGGAAGAAATTAAACTCTGCTGGAGATGGGTTGGCTTGCACAGTTGCACACCACAATATGATAGATCGATACTTGGCATGTTCATTCAGATTGGACCAAAACCCGTTACTGTGACGTTGATCTGTTTGAGTTTGAGGAGAGAAAATTAATTAATTACATCAACTTAAAAACTTTGCAAAAGACCAGATTTGTATTTCAATTCAAACAGTAAATAAACATATTCATTAAGAAAAACTACTACAGTAGTTATTGTTTTTGTTTTGTCTCTTACGATAACTTATGAAAGCTTGAATTAAGCAATGCCCATTAATGCCGCTTAAGTAGTAAAATAGATTGTTGGGATCCAGAAGTCAGAACTGAAGCGCAGAAGAGGAAAACGTTGTCACTTTTACTGCACCAAAGAAAGTGTCTGAACCAACTCTGTTAGAGTAGAGATTATCCTGAAGTACGTCACAAACCTAATGAAGCTAATAATCTTTATAGTGTCACCTGCAACAACAAAAAGAAAATAAAAACAAATTGTCGAATAAAACGTGCTTTATCCATCTGGAAACGACAATTCTCTTGTAGAATGAATAAGCTTCTTAGTTCTTACAAAGTTGGATATGCCGGTGCACTTGATGCTCCTTTCTTCCTACTTCTCAGAGTCAGGTTTCAGTAGTCAGTAATAAAGGACATGCATTTTCTAGGTTCAATGGACAATGGAGATGTTTTTTTGAGATGGAAATTAAGGACAACATTATGGGAATTATAATCCTTAGATTACTCACAGAAGGATTGTTTGTTTTTTTTCTGAGAGTAAGAGTAATCACAGTTCAGCCCAGAGCCCACCCAAAACCACAATAACATTAATTCGGGGTGGTAATTGGATTTGTCAACCCAATAATCAAACCCTACACAGCCTTTTGGCTTATAACCCTGAAAATATGTCGGATTGAAACCCAACCCAGTCAACTGATTTGTTTGTTTATTTACAAAACCAGAAGTAAACACCTACTGCATTTTGGACTAATAAGAAACAGACCCCGTCTTATCAAACCATCCCAATTATTGTCCGGTCTTATTTTGCCTGCCCGTTACCGGTATCTGACCCGTGACATGAAGCTGCAAACTCAACCTGAAAATAATCAGTTTAACTGGGGCAGGCTTATGGGTTTATTAGCTTCAGTCATTGGCCCCCCCTTACCTACTAAATGCGTATTTTTCTGATATTTTTTTTCAATTAAATTAAGAGCTGGTACTGACATTGATGACATGGGAGAAGCCACACGTACACGCATCATAGTCAATTCAATTAAGGGTACTTGTCAGAGTCACGGTTTGAATTGTGGTGTCGTCCTTCTACTTCCATATCACCAAGACGGAGGGAGGGAGGAGGACTAGGAGGTCCATCTTAGCACAATGATTTTGAAATCTCGTATGAAGAGTTTGGTATTCTTGTAAACAAATTTTTTTGTCTTTTGGAAGTTTGGAGCAGGGAGAATTAAATGACTTATTTAGTTTTTAAGGAGGTTGTGGGCTAATGGCTGAAGCTGAAGCTGGGTTAATTTGATTCCTATGCCCTCAAATGTTTTCATTATTTAAATTCTCCATCTACTAAAAAACAACTTACTAAGACATATTATTTAAATATTTTATCCACTACAAGCTTCTTTTTCTTTTAGCTTTTAGGTAGTTGTTGCCAAAAAGGTAATTAACTCCGGGAAGTAAAGTAAAAGTCATCTGTTCTGCGCTGCATTGAAATTTTTTCTTTAATTCAATGAGTTTGTTTATTTACATCATGCAATGAATTTGTTTCAGTTACTGAACGGAAAATATATATATATATATATATATATATATATATATATATATATGTGTGTGTGTGTGTGTGAGATTAAGTCAGAAGAAGATAAATGGATTTGTTTAGCCCACAATGGATTTATTTAATAAACACACTCTATTGACACCTTGAGCTAGAAGCCCTAGGGAGGGAGTATATATACCTCCCCATGCAAAGCTTCATGTAAGAAAGTATTGTTAACATCCATTTGATATAATTCCTAATTGTAGGCTACATTAGAAGGTCGCATCTGACTGTAACAAGCTTTACAACAAGAGCATATGTTTCAGTGTAGGCAACACATTTCCAATTGTATATAGCCTTTGGCAACCAATCAAGCCTTGAACCTCTCAATGGTCCAATCTAGATTTAATTTGTTTTTAGACCCATTTGCATCTTATGGGCCTTTTTTCAAGGATAGGTTGGTGGGGTCCATGTATTAGTGGTCTCAAGAGCAGAAAGTTTTGTTCCATAGCTTGGCCATAATATTGGTGTTTGTTTGCTTGAATAAAGGAAGTGGGTTCAAGTGGAGTGGAGGTGGTGGAATAAGCATGGGTGAGCCATGGTGGGACGATCATAAGTAGACAAGTGGGTTTGGGGTTTGTGTGTCCTAGTGGATCGAACTGGGCCTGGTGGCAAATTGTTATGCGATGAATCATGTATATCATTCAGGGGAGGTTCAAAAGTGGTGTTGGGACCAATGGCCCCATCAGTAATGGGTTGAATAACATGTTTTGAACCGCGTTGTGACTGATAATTTGTTTCACAAGTAATGGACATCCCCATGGGCTCAAATGATCATGAGTATCATCCATTAGGAGAGGGATAATTGGTTTGTGTCTTGAGCGGATGTTGAATCCTTAAGGTAAGGGAGCCTGTTCTCAAAAAACACATCTCCAGAAACAATGATATCACAAGTTTCTAGTTGTAGAGATGATACCCTTCTCTCCATGGGGATAGCAAATGAATATACAACGATTAGAATGTGCTACAAATTTGTCACAAATTCGTCAAACAGTATGGGAGTAATTGAGGCATCCAAACACTCTAAATGACTATAAGATGGGCTTTTTCCAAAGAGAACTTCATATGAACTTCAGCCAGATAGTATGGGAGTAGGTAAATAATTTATGATATGGGCAACAATAAGCACACATTTACCCCAGAATTTAATGGGAAGGCTTGCATGGAACCTTAAGCTATAGGTAGTGATGTTTACGTTCAACAACACCATTTTGTTGAGGTGTGTCGATACATGATCATTGGTAATTAATGCCATGACCCAATAGGTTTTGTTAAAGGCCCATAAATGAAATCACTGCCATTATCAAACATGATCCCTTTCACTTGAAAATCAAATTGGGTACTTACCATATTGCAAAACATAATGAAAAATGAACTATCATCAAACTTGCATTTTAACAAGTGAACCCAAGTAGATCTGGTGAAGTCATCCATAATTGTCAAGAAATAATGGGTACCTATGATAGATATTCTATACCCACCCCATATATCATAGTGAAAGCAATTCAATTGGTGAGGGAGTGTGTATACAACTCAGTGGAAAAGGTGTTCATGTTTGGTTAGCTTTGAAACAAACACCACAACAGTCTGACTTACTGCATACACTCATGGAGAGTTTTTTTTTTATTTTTTTTTTGTTCACTCTTGTTCAAGAAGAAAATCTTTAGAGGAATCACAAGTACAGAGTCCACAGATACAAGAAGGTAGATGGCCAAATCATCCCATAAGCTCTTCAGCATTGCTATTCGCCATGTTGCGTAGTTATCAATGTTGAGTGGAGATGACACAAGAACCTAAGATTATCGGAAGGATGCAAAAAATAAGGCTAGTCTGGATATGTCATCGTCTCTACTCTAGCTTGATCGCCAGTAATTTCACTTGAACATTAGCGAATGCAGATGGAAAAAAGAAATTTTGATCACAAAAAAGAGTCATCTTGATGACAACGGGAGAGGATCTCCTCGCTCAAATACCACAAAAAATATTCAGCAAGGAGAAGATAAGAATAAATCTTGGGGAGCATATTTTTTTTTCTTTTTGGATTTCAAGATGGGAGAAAGTTAGTCAATGGGATTTTGATTCTCATTGACCAAGAAACCCATGTTCTTTTTTAAAAAGATTGGTAATAGTTACCTACAATAAAAATTAAAAAAAAAACTCGTTTCAAATAATGTAGGATAATATATATATATATATATCCAGACCAGGCGATCATTCTTCTAGTTTCTGAAAAGGAAGATTTACAAGTGCTCCACCTGTCAAATCAGCTTCAAGGTGTACAGTGTACCAATGTTTTTAAACCATCATTGACCCAGACAGTCGGATCGTTCAACTCAGAAACCATCTAGGCAACCAATTCCATTTCACCCTTAACTCGTTCTTGGGTCAAAAACTATTGATTTGGTCAAAGAACTGCTGGCCCAGGTGATCGAACTGTTGACTCGGATAGCAGTTCACAGTTTAAGAAAGTTGCAGAGGATAGAGAAGAGAAACTGAAACATGAACTCAAATCTGAGATCGAAAAGAAAGAGAAAAGAAGAAAAAAAAGAAGATTACAGAGGTTGGAGAGAAATCGATCTGTGAGAACTCTTCAAATTTGAGATCTATGTTTGTTGCCACCACCTTGCCATCGCCGGTGAGCATTGAATCCTCCTCTCCTTCCCTCCTTCCTTTCCTCTCTCCTTTTCTTTTTTTTTTTTCTCTCCTTTCTCTCCTTCCTTTCTTTTTTTTCCTTCTTTTCTTCTTTCTTTTCTTCTTTCTCAACCAACAACCACAGTCTCTTCTCCTTTCTCATGTAAAACTTTTATATGAGAAATATTTTCCCTAATAATGCAAACCATTTGACCCGGACAGTTGAACCACTGACCCAGAAACCGATAGCTAGAGCAGTTCCATTTCCAGGTCGGTTTTTAAAACCTTGACGTGTACCATTTTTTGCACAACATGTAGTTATACAGATCACTTTGCAAAACTTCCCTCGATGAAATTAGTTGGTATTTAAGTACAAATTACAGCCCAGTGAAATTATCGAAGCGCTAGTGTATATTATATAACTATAACCACAACCTAATCTACATAACCTTGCCTTTCCTTGAACCCTGTTGGAACTTGTTACAGCTATATTTATGATGCCATTGTCATGAATAAAATGACAAGTATACATATAACTACAAAACAAAGATTTATACAGATCTTAGGTAAAAGGAACAGAACGAATTAAATTCATGCAAACAGTAATCGTAGCAATTTTTATATGTTGACCTAAACTAGTACGTATGTAAGCCATTTTTTGTCTCCCCTCTCCTCTTCCACAGTCAACTTGTAATACCAGATTTACTTGCTTCCTCCCTTTGCGTATGAATCACGTAGAGTAACTGTTCAGTTGAACACAAGTTTTTCCGGGGTAGAATCTGGATCAACCACAAAATACCCTGAAACAACCAGAAAGAACAAATTAATTAAAACATGATATACAACCACTTGAAAACAATGCCATTCTTGGCAATGCATCTAACAGGTTGACACCGAAAGGAACTAAGGCTGCGTTTGGAAACAATGCAATTGAAGTGTAAATCCTGATTCAGGGTAAATTTGCACTCTGGTTCACTTTTGCCTGTGTTTGACAACATTACATTTATGCATTAACAAATGACAGACCAATGCATATTTACATTGATAATAAGATGTAAAAGTACATCAATAAAAAAGAAGTAAATTTGCATTCAAGTGGGCTTTTGATAAAAAAAAAAAAGCATATGCTTTATTGGAATTCATGGTTGCATCCAAGGTTCAAATTATCGATACGCTCGATATGCCGGTAGGGGCATGGGCAAATCGATACTATTTTTTTGCTTTTTTTTTTTCTGAAACTGGTTCAGGGGGGCCGGTTAAGGGCTCCTCCACCCCCTGAACCTTGGTTGCATGCCATTACAGCTAAAAGTCTGTTTGGTAAGAAGGTAAATTTGTCAATGCAAAACTAACCCAATTTTGCAATTTATATGCACCGTTTTATACTCCACATATTTGCATTCACACTTATTTGCATTGTTCCCAAATGCAGCCCAAGTGTGCACACAAATAAGATTGTCAACATTTCATGTGCACAGTGGAAACAAATTACTATCAAGCAGCGAGGTCTAACAAGAAGCCCAAAAGGCACCAGTGTGAAAGCTTAAAGCTTTGATGTATTAAAATATACTTGCTGATTAGTAAGACCTATGAATGATTCTGAAACAATTTCCAAGCCTCCTGTACGTTCTGTCTAAGTGGCATATTGTAAGGCATTGCCGTTTTATCATGTGGTCAAAAAATTAGATAATCACAGTGCATATGGAATGAAGTAATATTTACTTGTCATTCAGAAGGAACATGAACATTATGCATTCAAATGTCCAGTATAAACAGCTGAAAAACAGGTACTGGAGTTACCTAGTCTTTCGAACTGGAACCTGTCTCCAACCGCAGCACTGCTAAGAGAGGCTACAGAAAGAGCCTCTGGAATTACCTCTTTGGAATGTGGATTCAGATCCGCAAGCTAATCATCAAGTTAAGCAGGATTCTAATGCCATAATAAGAAAGCCATTAAGTACTCAGTAATATGCTATATAAATTGGTTAGCTAAAACCTTGGGCTTTGTCTTTTTGGAAGGATCATACTCTGCCCGAATCTCAACAACACTCTCATTATCTTCACCATAGATTACTTCTTTGCATTTTATGGGAAAGGCATACCTGCAAGCATGAAGGAGATTTTGTAGTTCAGCAGGCATTCAACATGTATAGAGCCAAAATGAGAATTCAGATACATACCTAAGCAGGACAGATTTACCAGGAGCAAGCCCATAATAATCCTTTGAATCCTTAACCCGAAAATCAGAGCGTTCAATATACACAACATTTGTGAAGGGAACCTATTGGTGAGAAGGGAGAAGAAATCACTCAAAAATAAAGCCAGATAACTTTTGAGAAAATTCAAGTAATTGAAAGATGTGATCTGACAAGAAATCATCTGTCTGTACAAGTCTATATATATATATATGTATATATATATATAGGCAAAATTATGGAAAATGTGAAAAGTCAAAGAGGTGATGCCCATCATAGACATGAACATGAAACTGTATATAAAAACAAGGTTTATACAGCACAAAAGGATTGAGAGAAAAGATAAGAGGATTCCACTTCCCCTCTGCCTGAAGGACCAGAAAATCAGGGATGTAGAAAAGGTTCCCAAAAAAAGCCTGAAACCCTGAGAATACAGACAAGGTAATGTAGGAGCCAAAAAGTCAAATTGAAACTTTCTAAACATTTTTACATTTTTGTACCATTAGACAGCATCAGTATTTTGGTCACTTTATATGTCTATGCCTCTATAGGATCCGACCTAATAGTTTGATTCCTCTATTATAGTTCAGTTGTCTTTAAAATTTCAGTCATTAGTCAAGTTGTTTAGGAGTTATTGTGTGTGTGTGTGTGTGTGTGTGTTATAAGCATCAGGAACAAATTTCATTAAAAGAGAGAAGCAGTCACCCAACTCATAATCATAGCAGGTGGGCAAAAAACAACATACCCCTCTACAATAGACCAAAAAAAGATTTCTACAGAGAAAAAACAAAGAAAAAAATAAGAAACGCCCAGACCTGTGCAACCCCAATACAAACAATCCTTTCTGACCACCAACCTTGTCAAAGAATCAGCTCTAACATATTTGCTCTCCTGGGTAGTGGATATCAGATTAATGAGATGTTCAAGCTGGTACCCAAGGATGAGCCAATCTCACCAGCATTCTAAATAGCCAAGGTACTTGATCCTGAGCATTCATCCAACTAATGACAGTTTGGTGTTCCCCTTCAACTATTATAGTCAAAGACCCCTGCTGGGCTACCAGTTTAATGCCTTGAACTAATGCTAAAAATTCTGCCCTCAATGAGATCCGGAGCCCGCTGGTCCTGTGTAACTGAGAATTACATTACCACCAAAGTCTCTCACCACTCCTCCCACTCCAGAAATCCCAGGATTACCAAGACAGCACCCATCAAAGTTTAATTTGTAGCTTCCTTCTCCAGGTGGGCTCCATTCCACCACCCTTTGTTGTACCCTGTTGTTAAAATCTACAATAATGTTCCGACCTCTTAATAGATCATTCAGACTTACCCCATTGAAATCTTTTCCACTACAGGGTTCCAAAACCAACTTTCCTCTGGGTAAGCACCTAGGGGAAGTCCTAGATGGATTAAAAGCCACTCCGAACAAGTACAATCTAAACAAGCTGCAATAGACTCCATCTCTCCTCTACCCAGATTTATCCCCACCACACAACTCTTCTCAAAATTGGTTTTCAGATTTGAGACCCTCTCGAAGAGAATTATTAGATTCTTCAGATTTCTCACCTTCATCAAATCACAATCCTTACAAAAAATTATAATGTCATCTGCAAACTGAAGATGAGTAATTGGAACTTTGTCTCAACCTATTCTCCACCATCTTATTGACCTAGTGCTGTCCGCTTCTGATAAGACTACTAAAAGCATCAGCAACCAGTGTGAATAACAAAGGGACAGAGGATCAGCTTGTCTTGGGCCCCTACAGGCTGGGAATTAACAATTGACTACCCCGTTGACTAATAGAGTTATGGCAGGAAGTAAGGCAACCATTTATCCATTTACACCATTGTTGGTGTGAAAATTTTAAGAAATTAACATACAACATAATTCACTCAATCGAGTGATTGAGTTTTTATTATTTTGGGTAAGGCCCATTCAGGGAATCATATGGATTGTTCCCCTTAATTACATCTCCACAAGAAAGTAGAGAACACCTTTTGATTCTAACTTAGAGAGATGAATGCATAGAACAAAAGAAAAGAATAATAGAGTACTTCTTAAAACGAACTTTTCATTTGCATTTCTTTTACATCAAGTGTACAAGAATGAGAAGAAAAAAAAAAACAATACAATTGAGAAACTCCACAACAATACATTTCTCTCTTTCTTTTCTTTTTGATACAAAGAAGACTTCCTTCTCACTCCTTTCTTCACAATTAGTTGTAGTCAATCAGATGAACTTCAGACTGTAGATAGTCTTAATCCTCTGGATTTTGTATACAAGAAGGGAACCATAGTCAATCAAATTGATTATTTGATTGTAAACGGTTTTTATCCCTCTGTTCTTCATTTTCATTTGAAGGGAACCATAATCAGCCCTTGGGAATTAGACTATAGATGGTTTAATCCCCAACTTGTCTTGATAGAGGGACCATAATCAACCAAATAAAAGCACCTGACCGTAAATGGCTTCTTTCCCTCTATTTCCCTTCTTAAAAGTTAAAAACAAAAGAGAGAGGAAGAAGACATATATAGGAAGTATTCATAGAGAGGACTTTCCTTTACCTACCTGTATTAGTGAGGTTTCTTTATCTCATCCCCATCTTCCTCTAAGAACTTCTCTTTGCTTCTCTCTTTCTCTTGGCTTTTCTTAAGAAATCTCAAAGAGTGGTATGCTCTGAGACACAATTTTCTCTGAAGAGGAGAGACCGCTCTAGTTTCCCCTTAAAGAGTTCAAATAAGGAGTGGGGTAGTTATGCAACTACCCCATCCCCCTAGGTGACTAACCAACCCACTTATTTGGGTTATAAATTATTTAAATATTCATTTGGATTTAGAAAAAAAAAATATCCTTCAACAACCATCTATCCCCAAAACCACACTTCCTTAGCACCTCTAACAAAAAGCTCCAATCCACTAGATCATAGGCCTTTTCAAGATCTAGTTTACAAACAAAACCTTGATCATCCGATCTTCTCATCTCCCCCACACTTTTTTTATCAATAACCGAATTTCATTAGATTTATAAAAAAAAATTACAGGATTGGGAGATGTAAATTGTCTTAACTCTCCACAACAACTACACAATTACATTAGAGCCCAAAACAAATGATTCCTTCACACCCTTTGTTTAGCTAAAACATCAGCAAAAGCATTCACAATCCTTTTAACCCAGCTGAAATGCACTTCCATATCTTTAGTCAGCCATTTAAATCTATTTTTCTCATTCCTGTAAATCCAGAAACCCTTATCTTCCTTTTGCACCTTGAGTTTGACCAATGAGGGAGGGGAGCACCTTTTTGATCCTCAAATATAAGACCTTAGCCAAAATCTTATACACGCTAGTCACTAGACTAATAGGTCTAAAATCTTTTGGATATTTGGCATTTTTCTTCTTTGGAATCAGGGATACGAAAGTAGCATTCACTCTTTAACTTATAACAGAATTATCCTCAAATTCTCTGAAAACCTCAAACAAGTCTCCTTTGATAATGTTCCAGCACTCTTGAAAGAAAGCCATAGTAAACCCATTCAGCCCTAGTGCCTTGGATCTGTCCATTAAGAAAACACCTTGCCTAATTTCCTCCTCAATGTTCCTTTCCAAAAAACCTTCGCTTTCTTTAAAAAGTCTCTACCAAGTCACATCTTCTAGTTCCACTCTATTACCTAGGACCCTCCCCAGAATAGATTTGAAATGAGCAGCAAAACAATTGGCTATCTCCTCTTGGGATGTATGAACTAGCCCATCCACTTCCAGTTTAGTCACCAGAGTTTTCCTTCTCCTTCCATTGGCTAGTTCATGAAAGAATTTAGTGTTTCCATCACCTTCCTCGATCCATTTACATCTAGATTTTTTACTCCAAGAGATTTCTTCTTGCAACTCTTCTAAATCCCTCTTCAACTTCCAAATAAATTCTCTTTCATGTGTATTCATGATTCTTTGATATTCCTTCACAAACAATTCCTCTATTTGGACAATAAAAGAAGATTTCAGTTCTTCTATTCTCCTGAATTGATCCTTGTTCCATTCTTTCAATTTTGACCTCAACTTTTCATTTTTTTGTGAAATCTTACCCCTTTCCACTTCACCCCCCTTATACTCCACCATTCTACCTAAATCTTCTTCACCAAGTCTGGGTGTGTCAGCCACATGTTTCAAACCTAAAGGTCGAGGTCCTCACCTAAATGGTTCCCATCCTAGCTCAATGGGACAATGGTCAAAAGTTACTCTAGGTAGAGCTCTAGTATCAAATCCCTTCAATGGTTTTCCCAACTTTCGCTAAAAAGGAATTTGTCTAACTTTGAGCAAGTTGGGATTTCCTGAAAGTTGGACTCAAGTATAGTGAGCTTGCAGCAGAGGGAGTTCCTTCAACTCATAGCTATTAATGAATTCATTGAACTTCCTTATGCTGGTTGTAATAGTCTGTTGGGGATTGTTTGATTCATTAGTAAAACGAATTACATCAAAATCCTCCCCCCCCACCAAAACACCAAGGACCTTCCCATAACCCTTGAATCCCATATAATTCTTTCAAGAATACATTCCTCTCTCTGTAATTGCTTGGTCCATACACATTAGTTAGTACCCAAGTGAATCCATCCTCCACCACCCTAAACTTTAACGACACCGAGAAATTTCCAATTACTTATCAAAAAGAAAAAACTACAAGTGTTTAAAGTCATGTAAAATTTAAAAATGTTCACCCAAAAAAAGTTCATTTAACATCTCTTAAGGATTGGGACTGATCCAGGTATGTTTTCTTTAAGCTTTGTTAATCCCAAAATTGTCTCGTTTTGGCAATTTCCGTCCTTTTGTATTGATCCCGTCTTCACAACCCAAAACTTGTTTCATCAATTTTCATTCTTTTGTATTGATCCATCTCCTACATCTGTTTAGAACAAATCTAGTACAAAACATCATTTCAGAATTCCAATCCTATACCTGTTTTCCCCTATTTTAAACTTTTCACAATTTCGGGGCAAATCTAAAATTGTTGCAATCAAGCCTTAGACCTTTCTTAACCTAACTAACTGCTGGCTTTAGTCCCAAAATCACCCATAACCCTATTCTAGCTAATAAATTCCTAACTGGATCCACCCTTGCATTATTCTAATCATGCATCAAATTGGGTATCACAGCTATCAGCCCTACATCAATTTGGTATAAGAGAAAGTGTTAAATTAATTCAGATAAGTTTTGTCCTCTCTCATGCCCTTGACTACTGAAGGTTTTTCCCTTAAACATCCTGTCATATTAATAAGCTTGACCATTGCTAAGAAAAAAATAAAAAAGGTGGTCTTGCTCAAAATCCCAATAATGGCATCTCTTTCAACTTCCAACATTAGAACAGACCTATCTTATAGAGGGAAACATATTTTTATATCTTCTCAACCCAAAATAGCTAAGAAAGGTTCCATTTTAAGGATGCCCCTAGGAAAAGATCCAATTAAGTCAGAGCAAGGCCTAAGAAAGGATTAGACGGTGTGTCTATGAACCCTGGTGTTGGAGGCTTGAATCCATCCTCACCCACAACCAACCCAAATGGGAAGGTCAATGCTACCCATCCCAATCACACAAAGTGTACCAATAGGTGGCTGCAAATGCTCTCCAAAGATGGTAGATAAATAGCAAAGCAGTGTAAAGCAAGTGCAGTAACTCAAGCAATTATTTATGTAATACACCTTTGCATGTAAAATAATGCACACCAAAATTTTGTATATCTACACGCTTGTGTTCCTAAGCAAAGAGTTCAGCTATTGGCCTGGACTATCCCTTAGGCCTGCCTCAGCAACTTGACAACCTTAAGAGCATACACACAATATACTATTAAGTTTTTTAATGGCTAACATAATTATTTGTCAAATTATCTAACAAAGCACTCCTTTAACCAATTAGCACTATAGAATCATGTATTCACCTTGTAAAAAGAAGATGCATCATCTGTCTGAGCATCAGGCCATTTCTTGGCATCAAGATCGATCACTGATTCTAGATTTGTGATAACAACCTGTAGACAGAGAGTTTATCAATCAATTGCTACCACAAATGGTACCCAATCAAAAGTTGACAAGATGCATACCTTGAGAGGATGCAGCACAACCATTGTACAAGCTGCTGTTCTGTTAAGCTCTTCTCTTATGTGGTATTCAAGGCGATCCAAACGTATCATACTATTATCACTATAGAAAGAGTACCATTTCCAACTATTATGAGAAGTTATAAAACAAAATAATAGCATCCACTGACAAGACCAAGCAGGAAAAAAGAAGTTCAACCTTCTAGTAATTCCAATTCCTCGAATAAATGCATTGATGGCAGTTGCAGTCACTCCTCGACGTCGTAAACCAGCCAGTGTCATTAAGCGGGGGTCATCCCAACCATTAACCCACTTCTCTGTGACAAGGCGGTTCAACTGCAAGAGAAAATCGCAGGCTTTATGAGTGGGAAAAAAAAAGCTAAAAATGACCAAAAAAATACTTTTAAACTTTCCATAGATTTTAACAAGCAGCCACACCTTCCGCTTTGACATCACCGTGTTGGTGACATTTAATCGTGAATACTCCCACACATAGGGTTGGTAAAGGCTCAATGCATCTAATAACCAGTAGTATGAAGCATGGCGAGTCTCAAATTCAAGAGTACATAGCTGCAAAGAAAGGTCTCATAAGAATTGTTTTCTATGCACCCCATCAGTAAATTAATACTAAAGACAATTTCATGTTAAAAACACGCCAAGGCATAAAGGGTGAATGCATTTTCTGAATGGTCCTCCAGCAGGCTAATATGGAGGATGAATATCTCCTACTTGTAACAACTGAATTGGCAGCACAAAGGCATTCCAAACATCAGAAACAGTACCCCGTCTGTTTCCAATTTAATAACTCAAAGAAAAATGACAAAAAAAAACTTCATTCTAACATCATCCATCACTATATCATTTAAAACCAAAAAAATTCTAACATCACCCATCACTGTATCACTAGATCATTTAAAACCAAGAAAGAATTCGAGCTAGGAGTTCTGCTGGGATTGATATATAATCCTTCCCTGTGGCTAGAAAGGAAGTATTTATCCAAAAATCGTGAAGACACACCGAGACCCATAAAAGGACTAAAGTGGCCACCCAGGCCATGAGATGAACCACAGGTTGGTCATGCTCTGATAGTCCATATCAGTGAGTACCCCCCCAACACCATGTGTTTGGCTGTTTTTTGTAAGTAAAATAAAAAATGAAATTCATTAAAAATTGGTTCTTTGCAATTTTTATTTGTAAGTGGATACAAACCATGTATTTGGTGTTTTCACAAAATAAGCCCTGAAAAAATTGGTTCCTTGCTTTCCACAGGCTGTTTGGTTGAAGCATGCCCCATCAAGATAGAATGATATTTAGCAAACATAGTGACTCCTTTAGACTGCCAGCTGAGCTGCCACACACATACCAGGCTTCTATATCAGTCCTAAATCCACCTGGGATAGCCACTTGATTAAAAGAAATAAAATCATTCATATTTGAAAAAAAAAGAGAGTTCATGGCAGAAACCAATAAAAAGAGCATGGAAATCATAAATAAAACCTCTAATAACCATACTATGATTCATGGAATCCACACACCTTCTCTGTGGTTAAAGACAGCGTCGATATTCAACACTATCAATATTATTTCTGTTTCTTCTCACAAGAGGGATACTCTTTCTCATTTGGGCTTTCTCAGGAATGCAATTGGAGGACTTGGCACTGGGAAATTAGATTCAAACCTAACTCTTTTGAAACCTAATAGCAATCATTTATTCCAATTCCAATGTTTCCAGTTTGCATTTAATTGATCAGATGTTTACTCAAGTTGTAAAATCTGGAACCAACTGATGGGTGGCTCGGTTGGTACGGTTGCTGCATAATCCCAGTGGAGACTTGGGATCGAATCCCAATGCCACCAAATTTGAGGGAGTATGGGTTGGGTGCTCTGCTACTCAACAGGCCCCATGAGAGATATGGGCATATCACCAACATAAAAATAAAAAATAAAAAAAAATGTTGTGAAATATTGATACTCGGCTAATTTGTATGATTGGTTACTGGAATTGAAATATTTGGTATCCTTGGTTATGCTAAAATTACTTTTGAACAAATATGTGTATGAGGGGGAGAAAGAGAGAGAAAGAGAGGGAGAGAGAGAGAGATGGTCTATAATAATGGTCTGATGGTAGGTAGTGATATACAAAAAAAAAGTGAGATGTAGCAGCACATTTTCAGTATGACAAAGGATTTGGTGAGTATGACCTGAAATTATTATTAAGCTCTTAGTGTTTATGCCAAGTCAGGGTTCACAGTCTCGGAAGAAGGGAGAATAAAGGGGACAGATGTGCATATATCTGTACTCAGAACAGGGCTGAATCACATTAATGTTGCCACTGAAAATGAGATGGTTAAATTACATGCTAAATTTTCAGAAATTGGTGATTACTTTCTTTCTGCTTTTTTTTACCTAATTGAGTGTTAAAGATTTGGTACCATGAAGTGATGAAACCCCATAATCTCTGGTCTTGACAAAAAACATTGTTTCAATGAGGCATTGATTAGCTTCGCAGGAAGTATAATCGATGTAGTGAAGTGAGCACTAGTCGCTTTGGGCCTCTTAATCAATACAACGATTAGTCAGTGCCTAGGTGCTGACTTAGTCAATTAAAAAAAAGATATGTTTAAATTTAAGATATTGATGCAATCTCATTAACAAGTTAGTACAGACTATAATTGTGCAAAAAAATAATGATATTGAACATTTACTTTACACTCTTCATTTTACAAACAAAGAAAAAGTTGGGCTGAATAGGCTAGGATTAGGAATCATAGCCTTTTTTCCCAAGAAAGCATGCGACCTTGACTATTAGATGTGCTCTTTGGTTGCGGGTTGTGGCAACTCTATAACAGCATACCACCGATTGGAAGAAAACTTAAAAAGAACACCTTCACTGCCATCTTTCATTTTATAATTTTTTTTTCTATTTTACATGCCATCATCCAATAATGTCCACCACAAATATTCAAGGAAACAGCATGAATATAACAAAACATAAACATATTCTATATTATTTCAAATAATTAGAGATACAGACAAACAAATAAAGCTGTAAAATGAATGTGGTTGATGACTAATCAACCTAGTGGTTGCTTAGACATCCTAGGCGTCTGCATGGATATCATGCTGAGTATGTCTTGGAATTCCAAAAGGTTTTCTCTTTTATGATTGAATTCCATGGAATCCCATCATTGGGGCATTAGTTCATAGGGAGGCTTCTATTCCCAAGCAGAGTATTCTAGGATATCATGCAGAGTTGATTGGAGACCAAAAAGAGTGCCTTTCACAAATATGTTCATGCAGCAATAATAGCACTTTCAATTCATGAGTTGGACCACCAAGTTCATGACTTAGTACTAAATATTGTCTTGTAAATGAAAGCTCTATTGAGAAAGCATTCCTCTATGGCTATAGGAAACTTTGGGATTTGAAAAATGGATGACTAAGAAAAATTTTACTAGTGTCAGAGGAGGGATGAAGTTTCTTGGAACTCAATTGCTCGATAGATCCATGATGGGCTCTTGCCAAAGGCCATGTATTTGGTTTGGCTTATGAAACAACAGGACAGACAGCTGATGATTTCACTGTTGCAGGCTTGCAGCGGATATTAGTGCATGTGCCTCTGTTCTGCTTTATAGTGTGGCATACAAACTCGTGCTCAATGGATAAGGACTTGCTTGAAATCTAATGCCGTTGGAAGTGCATTCATCAATATGTCCCTAAGTGAGAAATGAAAATCATGATTCAAAGGTCACTGAGGTGACAAAGGCTTTGAGCATTTTGAGTCTATATATGCAAAAAATAGGATTTGACTCCTAGGGTGGAGCATTTCCCTTTGCATGGCCAATCTCCACAGAAAACCTGGCAAGCTCAAAATGGTGAAGATATAATTTTATCAGTTCGAACAAAAAAGGGAACACAAGAATTCAGAGGTGTCCATGAATCAGTCAACCCCCACCCTCAAAGCACCTTTCTATATATAGGCAATACATTAGGGATTATTATAATAGGGCACATCAAAACTCTCCACACTCCCCCTCAAACTGAGGTGAAGTCATAACCATTAGTTTGCCCACAAGAAAGAGATGTCTAGATCTCATCATAGCCATAGTAAAAATATCAACAATCTGCACATCTGAGTCCACATGAGGAAGTGAAATAGAACCAGCAAGAAACAGGTCTCTAATAAACTGACATTGCACTTCAATATGTTTAGTCCTCTTATGAAAAACTAGACTAGATGCAACCTTGATAGCACTAGTCAACATAAAGAGGAATACGGGTAGGAAGATGAACACCAAGATCCTCAAAGAGAGATTATAGCCAAACAATGGCATAGCTCTATACTCTACATCTGTAGATGATTTGGAAATCGTTTGTTGTTTCTTGCATTTCTAGGAAAGGAGGGAATCACCCATGAAGATACACCACCTCGTAGTAGAACATCCGATGTCAAGGCAACCTGCCCAATCAGCATCAATATACACCCTTAATAAAACAAGAGAGGAGAAAAAGAACAGTCAATATGATAATGTCCCACGAACATATCAAATAATCTGAAGAATAACAATTAAGTGAGGTTGATGAGGGCAAAAAGTCAAAGTGACTAACAACCTAAACCACATGGGAGATGTTAGGATGAATCATAGAAGGGTAAATGAGAGAGCCCACAAGTTGTTGTAGAGTTTGGCATCAGGAAGTAGTGAACCTTCTGGTTTTGCTAACTTGACATTCAACTCTAAAGGAGTATCAACCTGCTTATCATCAGTAAGACCAGCCAACTTGACAAGATCAAAAGCATACTTGTGTTGACAGAAAAAGTATCCCCGATTACTTCTTTGGATCTCAAGTCCCAGAAAGTCGGTGAGAGAACCCAGGTCCTTCATATAACTATGAAGAAGGGATTTAGATTTAAGTTCTCTAATTTCCTCTTCATCATCCCTAGTCAACAACAGAAAAAAGATTGTGATACCTTGAGGTCTTCCACGAACAAAGAGAGAATAATCAGAAGAAGATATAGCTGGCAACAACAATGACATAACAGAATTTCTCAAACCAAGCTCGGGGAGCCTATTCCAAACCATATAGAGACTTCTTCAGTCTGTAGGCAAGAGAAGGATCACTATACTACCCACAAGGAGGTTTCATATACATTGTCACCTTTGGCCATGAAGGAAAGCATTCTTCACATCCAGCTAATAAATTGACCAAAAGTGTACAATTGGAATAGCCAAAAGAACATGAAATATAGTAATCTTGGCAACTGGGGCAAACGACTCTTTTGTATGCCCCTAGGTAACAACACGAGCCCTGTACCGGTCTACGAAGCCATTAGATTTCAATTTGATAGTGTAGACCTATCTACTCCCAACAATAAAGGCATTTGATGGTGCAAGCACAAGATCCCAAGTGTCATTCTCATGCAAAGCGTGAATCTCTACATCCATAACTTCTTTCCAATGAGGAATGCTACGGGCTTGTTGGTAGGTAAGAGGAATATTTATGGAAGATAAGAAAGCAAACAAAGAGCAATGGTTGGAAGGGAAAGCATAGTGGTCAGTAAGTTTAAAAATGCGAGTAGAATGACGAAGAGGAGCAAAAGCAAGAGAGATACTAAAACAAGAAGGACATCACTTATAGGAGTTGTGGGCTAATCTGAACCAGGACGAAGGACGCAAGCACAGGAACTGGAGTATACAGTAGCTTGCAAGAGAGGCGATAAGATCCTTCACAGCCACTTAAGAGGAGGTATCCTATGAATCGAAGTCATACAAGTCAGAAACTAATGAAGTAGGTAATCTAGCAACCCCTGCAAAGAAGGATATATTCTCAAGAAAAACAACATTACAAGCAATACAGATGCAACGAACAGATGGATCATAACATAAAAATCCCTTGTGGTTAGGACTATAGCCCACAAAGGCACACATAATAGACTGAGTAGACAATTTATAGCATTCACAAATCAGAAGATGCACGAAACATAAATAACCAAACACAAGAAGAGTAGATAAGTCCAGTGGACAACCAAACAGATTTTGAAAAGGAGATACATTAGCAAGAACAAAAGAAGGAATGTAATTGATCAAGAATGCATTCGTACTAGCTACCTCCACCAAAAAGAAGATGGTGCATGCAACTCCTATAACAAAGTCCTCACAACACTAAGAACATGTCCATTCTTGCGCTTGGCTACACCATTCTGCTGAGGAGTACCCGAACAGCTTTGTTGAACTCATATCCCATTTGTCTTCCAAGTAAGGCAAAAATTCCCCGTCAATGTACTCCCCCTAAATCTAGCAAAGGATCCGTACACAAGACTGAAACCAAACTCGTATTGTGGCATGATACAACTGCAATATTGGGAAGACTTTTGATTTGTGCCGAAGAAAATAAATCCATGTGCACCTGGTGCAATCATCAATGAATGGTACAAAATATTTGTATCCCAATCGGGAAGTAATAGATGAAGTCCAAACATCAATATGTCTAATTTCAAACAAAGAGAGAACTTTATTTTTTATAAAGCTAAGGTCAAACAAAAACTTTAATTTTTCAAAATAAGGATGACTAAAACGTTTATGCCATAAATCCCAAGCATTATTTCTTAGATCCAAAAAGAGAACTATATGAGGAAGAACTGAAGTAAGTTGATGATTCGGTTGAGTGAGACTTCTTGAACTCCAATATAAACAGGCGGCCCGACCTATTACCCTTCCCTTTCACCTTCCCAATGCACTTGTCTTGGATCAAACAACCATTATAAGAAAATGTAAGAATGTGACCTCATTGATAAGTTGACTTACTAAAATAGGGTTTGTAGTGAGATTAGGGACAAAGAAGGTCTTGATAAGGGACAAGGAAATGGAGGGTGAAAGCTTTAGGGACAAATCATTACTACCAATGATGCTTAATTTTTCACCATTGGCATTAAAAATGAGTTTATGATAGGTTGCAATATAATTACTTGAGGGTTCAGCATAGGCTCCACCCATATGATTAGTAGCTATAGAATCAATAATACAAATAGGAGAAGAGGAAGAACAATAACTGGTAGACTCGTTGGATAAGCCAATAGCAAAGAAAGCAGAAGAGCTAGCAGAGGATACTAGTTGCCAAATTTTCTCTTCAGCCATAGGTTCAAATGATTCACCTTTAACAGAAAAACCAGGCATGGTGGAAGTGGTGTTAGAAGTCTAACCCTCAATTACCTGATATGCAAGAGGCTGACTCTTCTTTTGAACAGCCTTAGCTGGTCGAATAGGGCAATTTGGAATAATGTGACCATGTTGCTTTCAAAAAGTACACACATTTTTCTTCTTACAATGAGAAGCAATGTGGTTGAACCCTTTACACTCGTAGCATTGAACCTTTGAGAAATCCTCAGTTTATTTCTCCACTTTGAAGTCTATGTGGCATAAAATTGATCACCTAGAGACAATTGAGTGGGAAAGTCAGAAGGATGCACAAACATACAGAAAACAAGTTGAAACCAATAGAGTCTTTGAATTCCTAGCTGGTCTGAATCCAGAATATGATATTGTGAGGCCACAATTCCTGACCAAAGAGAGTGTGACCTTGTCTCAGGCCTATTCCTTAGTGCACAATGAAGAAAGTAGGAGAAAAGTTATGCTACAATATCAACCTATGGAATCAGCCCTAATAGCAATGAAACCAAAGTTTGGGGTGACAAGGAAAAGGATATGAAGAAAGAAGACAAGAGGGATGTAGTTTGTGATCATTGCAAGAAACCGAAGCACACCAGAGACACTTGTTAGAAGTTGTATCCATATCTAATTCCAGCAAAGCTCATAAATAAAAAGAGGAATGCCAATGTAGCAATTACTACTGATGGTGTATCATCCTCGAGAACAAGAGACACATCTCTAGACACTTTAGTTGTTGCCCGAGCTGCTCTAACTCAGTTGGAAAGTGAAGTTGGCACTTCATCCCCTTCATCTCAGCTACCTGCTACAACATCAACTACTCCCACTTCAACATTTGCTCATTCAGGTACAAGAGCTTCAGCCCCAGGTAACAATGAACCTTATTGGGTTATAGATTCAGACGCATCTAACCATATGATTGGCTTATCCTCATTGTTTACTACTTATTGCTTATACTCTGGCAGAGACAAAGTGTCTATTGCTGATGGCTCCCTTTGTTCCCATTTCTGGCAAGGGAGACATTAGACTATCTAATGCCATCTCCTTGTCCTCAGTTTTGCATGTTCCTAAACTTAGTACTAACCTACTTTTAGTAAGTAGCATCACTAAAAATCAAAACTGTCCAGTGACTTTCCTTCCAAATCGGTGTATTTTTCAGGATCTGGAGACAAGAAAAGTGATTGGGATTGGCCATGAGACAAATGGAATCTACCTGCTTGGAGGGCATTCACATGGGGAAGATAAAGAAGTGGGGAGGTCATTGGTTTCTCAATTTGTGAGCTAGGTTATGCTTTGGCATAATCGATTAGGTCATTTGTCATTTAGGTCTTTGAAGAGTTTATTTCCCAGTTTGTTTAAATCAGTTCAAATGTCTAGTTTAAAATGTGAAAGTTGTGAACTTGCAAAGCATTGTAGAACAACCTACTCTTTGAGCAATAAAAGAAGTAGCAATCCTTTTGAAGTTGTGCATACTGATGTTTTGGGACCACCATATCACATCAATGCTATGGGGGAAACAAATATTTTATGTTGTTTGTTGATGACTACGCTCGTTTCTCATGGGTTTATCTTATGTGCTCTCGAGATGAGGTCCCTACCCTAACTCGAATTTTCCATCATATGGTTTTGACCCAATTTGGGGTCAAAATCAAAATTTTCAGATTCGATAATGCTAAAGAATATTTTGCAAAACCATTGGCCTCATATTTCCTTGGCCATGGGGTTATCCATCAAAGCACATTTCCGCATACACCTCAGAAAAATGGGGTTGTTGAGAGAAAAAATAGGCATATATTGGAGGTGGCCAGAAGCATTATGCTAAACTCCAATGTTCCCACACGTTTCTGAGGGGATGCTATCCACACTGTTGTGTACCTCATCAATCGAGTTCCTTCACGGGTCCTAGACATGAAAGTTCCATTTAACCTATTATATCCCAATCAAGAGTTGTTTACTCTTCCCCTTAAGATCTTTGAAAGTACTTGCTATGTTCAGATTCTTGGGCCTCATCGCTCCAAATTTGATCCTAAAGCTTCAAAATGTATTTTTCTTGGGTATGCATAAAATCAAAAGGGATATTTCTGCTATGAACCTATTTCTGGGAAACAATTTGTTTCTACAGATGTCACATTCCTTGAGGATGTACCCTATTACCATAGAGTTTCTTCTCAAGGGGAGAGTAGTGAAATGGGGTCTCATTTATCAGAAATTCCATTACCTGTCCCAATCACTGAAGGGGAGTGTAGTGAGGAGGGTTGTCAAAAATGTCAGGATTTAAGGGTGTACCACAAGAGGTGAAGGCAGGTTGATTTCGATCATCAACAGTCCAGACCAACTCCAATTTCCTCTACGGCTCCAGAGCCAAGTATTGCAGTGAAGGGATGGGAGATCCATCATATGGATGGCCGAACCCTGCAGGAAGGTTGGGCGAAATTCCAAAAATTTCTTTACTCCCATCCGGGAATCCTATTCCCAATTTAGAGAACTGCATTTTCAATGTTCGTTCTTGTAACCAAACCAGACCAAATCTGAAACCAAGTTTAGGGAGGGATATACCTGATACGAAATCCTCGCAAAAAGCACCTCCCAACGTAGATGTTCACACCCAAAAAGTGTACCAAATCCTCCCTCCACTGAAGATGACACAGCTTAGGTTGAGGTAGGATCAGCAGGTAGTTCTTCACTAAGAACTTGTGATTCTTCAGCAAGAATCGAATGGGGTAGTGAGCATAGCTTCAAAATTGTTTCTTCTAGCAAGAAACAATATCAAGATCAAATCTTGATCAGATCCAAGAACTGGAGATCGAACAGGGTAGGGCGGCAAGAGCAGGAAGAAAAAGAACTGAAGGCAAGATCAGTCTAACTGAGTTGTCTTCTCTCTGTGTTGTGTGTCTTTTTCAGGTCCGCCATGCTCTCTATTTACAGCCTTAAAGAGACAATCTCTTAATCTGATTAGGAGTTTCCTGATCCAAATCTTTATTTGGATCTGGACTCTTTAAGTGATAAGGATAATCCCTTATCTTATCTACAGTTCAGGATCAACTTATTCCTAATCAAATTAAGAGTTTCCTGATCCAAATCTTTATTTGGATCTGGACTCTTTAAGTGGATAAGAGTTATCCTCTTATCCTTATCTGCTGATCCAAACCCAGATCTGACCCTATTTAATTAATCCAATTAACCCAGTTCGAAATGGGCTTTTAGGCCCATTAAGCTTTCAGGCTCACTTCCTTTTAATGTTGTCTAGCTTGGCTCTCTTTGTATGGTGTGGGACGCTAACATTGATCTACACATCAGCCACATGGATTCAGCCTAGTCTCTGTTACAAGGCTTGGCCGAAGTCACTGCTGAATACAGTGAACCCCTGAGTCCATCACCATAGGCTCTTAATGGGCCCAACATTTACAATAAATGGTCCTTTAATCCAGCCATCTTATAAAGGCCCAAGGACTATAGGCAGATGCAAAATTAGCCCATCAAGTATAACCCTCAATGGTCTTACACTTAACCTCTCAGCCCTTAATGATCAAACACTGTCCGACAAGAGAGGACCTCTCCCTCGGCTGCAAGGTACAGTGCTGCACTCTTTACTCACATGGATCCCGAGAATTAAAACCTTTTACAAACATTTTGAAACCATAATATATATAAGTATATCTCTATATAAATATATTTTGCAAAACCAAATTTCAAACACATTTGAAATCCACTGCTAACAGTTTAGGTTTCCATCAGAGAGAGTGCATTTTTCCGATCATTCACTTTGTCCGACAAAGGGGTTGATCCCGTCACTATGATAACCCACTCAGATGAATTCTCGGATTGTTCCAACATACCCGGGTTTTGACCCCCTCTAAGGATCTCATTGATTGGCACATCAAAGACAGCCCAATCCGACACCTAGTGCAGTATCATAATCAAGTCTAGGGGTCAAGTGTAACATTCTAGTTTTGCCCATCTATCTCCAAGGTCCAGACAATACTGGAATTTTGGTCCGGTTCAGGGTTTCAAGAAAACTCACACTAGATGTACCTCAGGTCTCACCCTAGCAGCTGAGACAAGCCACCCCAACCAACTTGGCGGCACATCAATGTCAACCTTGACAGGATAAATCTCCCCATATCTATCCAACGGCTGTGAAGATTCTAAACTAACACGTCTCATATGTGTCCAGTTTAAGGGTATTACACAGAAACACACCACAATAACATAATCAAATATGTACTTTATTCATTTACAATA